CTGAGCATTCTTTTCCAACTGCATATGGCCCCTGCTGAACTGGACTGTCAGAAGCGCCTTGCTGGTGCATCTCACGCATTTCTTTTACTTGCCAAAGACATACATGTACGTCTCCATTTCTCGGTACAGCCATATAATCAGCACCTATTTCCTGGGATGAGGCTGTTCACGGTTGTCCTAACCACCAGTAAGAAACATTTAGGGGGTCTCCTTTTGTGTGCAGGAGGTTCAAAGGTCTTACCATCCTTCGACAGCCCTGGCCCTGCAGCTTGTGCGGGAGGCTGGGGTCACCCACTGCAGGTGTATGGAGAGGCAGGGAGGAGAGGCGGGGGTGTCCTTCCCTATCACACTCCTGTCTGAAAGGAATGGCTTTGCCTGCGGACTCCCAGCAGCTCTGGACCCTGCAGGTGAGGCCTGTTAGGTGATAAAATACCTTAGTCAAGGGGTCTTTGGAGAAAAAAGAGGCCAACTGGGCCTGACGCTCACTTTCTTTTGAAATCTAAATGCTGGGATGTGGGCAGCACGGTGGCAGATGTAGGAGCGTGAATGAGTCCGACAGAGAGGACGTGGCTGGACTGGGGCCTGAGTCCAGACAGGCCGCCCAAGTCAGCAGGCCCACGGGGACCTTGGGCCTCTACAGCAGGGTGCAGTGCTCACGGGTCCCGGTGCTCATCCCCGGGAGGGAATGTGCTCTCCACAGGATAGGCTGCCTGCTGGGTTGCTGGCCCTGGGCCTAAGGGCAGCCAAGATGTAGCCTGAGGTCAAAGCAAGGGCAGAGGCTCTGGGATTACTCTCAAATCAATATAAAGTTGTAAAAATGTACATTTTGTAAGAAAATGAAATTAGAAAATTATTTGTAAACGCTTGATATATACTCATCATAGTTGAAAAAAGAAAGAGAATGAAAGTAGTGAAATAAGAATTCTGGGCAATAGCCCTCAGGAAGGCACTCTAGCTTAACTAGCCATTTTACCACTGACATGAATTGGATGCATTCTTCCTGAGTGACACCAAGTGAATGTCCAGGATCTCAAAGTGTCAAAACAAGTGCAACAATTTGTGTGTGTGTGGAATTTGGCTGGTCTCCAACAATCAGATCTTGGCCAAACTCATATATTTTTGGCTCTTCCAAAATTATCAACAGTGTCTTGATGTTTTAACTGTGTATGATTTCTTGTCAACAGTACAAGTCAGTACACAAAATCCTCTACTCCTTTGCCCCAGTCTCAGGAAAATCTCGGGGCCATCGTCAGACCCAGCGCCTGACAGCTACAGTTCGCTGCGCCCTGAGGATGCCCAGAGGCACATGGCAGTTGAGTTCAAGTTGAGGGCTCTATGTGAGGTTCCATCTTCTAGGAATTAGCTTTATTCAAATGTTTTTATTTGGCAAGACTGAGCACGAAATGCCCGGAAGGCATGGACAAAGGATGCTTCCAATTCCTGGAGAAAATGTTGCTTTGTAACCCAATGGACTATTGGTAGCTCCACAAGCCTCCAGACAATCAGTCACCAAAGATGCGTCTGAAACAGTGTCTATAAAATACACAAGCTGACTGTGTAAAATTAGCTTATGGTTGTTAGCCTACCTGTGAAATGGAGGTGAAATGACTTACTGACCAAAGAAATGATCCATGACCATCCAACTGTAAGGCCTGTGAGTCCAGCAAGATCCCTGACAAGCCGGGAAAGCCCAAAGCTTGCCTGGGCTACGGGCCGGCCAGACTGTATCCACTGTCCATGCAGCCAGGGTGTTTTACTGCTGGTGAATTCAAGTCATCTATGGCCTCAAAAGAATCACAACCAAGATGTATTGCTACATCAACAAAGTGGGAAACTGAGGCAGGAAAATGCCTGAGACCAGTGGAGCAAAGGAGGACTGAGACTCATCACATAGCTACCCAGGAGGCCGAGCGGTCCAGCCTAGCAGACCAGTTTGTAAAGCCACTGTAGGCAACACCATCCACACGATGCAGATCATTTAAAATCATAGAGGTGGGATCCACTCAAGAGCCCTGGCTGGCCCTTCCTTCCTTCCTTCCTTCCTTCCTTCCTTCCTTCCTTCCTTCCTTCCTTCCTTCCTTCCTCCCTTCCCTCCCTCCCTCCCTCCCTCCCTCCCTCCCTCCCTCCCTCCCTCATGTCTTCTCCAGCACCACCCTCTCCTGATCTTCCTCCTTGGTCTCTGTCCTGGACCCACTCCCCTTGCTGTCCTCTGAGTGCCTGTGTCCAGGGCTGGTCCCCAGCCCACTGTTTTTTCTAACCCACTCAATCCCCGGGTGACCTCATTCCCAGTCCCACAGCTGGATGATCCATCAATATTCAGGTGATGCCTAAATTTATGTCCCTAGTTCTCACCTCTCTCTCGACTCCAAACTGGTAATGTTTAATTTAATTTCACTTCAAGGAGGAATTTCAAAGACCAGCAACAAACAAAGCACCAGAACAACAGAAAAGCCTCAGACTGAGCAGGAGACGTGTGGAGGTCCCGCCCATTTGTCTGAATTGTGCGGCTGCGCAATGTACAACCGGAGCACCCGTGGGAAGGCTGCGTCCTTTGTCAAGTGTTTCTCATATAGGTGCCATTCATATATGCTCAACACTACAGCTGCTTCTGTGCACAGTCCCCAGGTTTCTAATAGGTTGTGTTTCAAAACCCTTTTGGTAAATTAATATTCTGTGTCTTGGGACATAGATTTTTTGTTTGTTTGTTTTTTGTTTTGTTTTGTTTCAGAGAAGAATGCCTTGGCCATAGGAATCTCTAGCTTTCTCCCCAATTCTCCCTTCCTTTTCATTGCTGCTGACACCAGCTTAGTGCAGGCTCTCGGGGCCTAAATTATTCCATTCCCAACACAATGAACACTTCGGTCACACACACTGCAGCTACACTGACCTTCCTACAAATGGTTCCCATCACAACTGCTCAGAAATCTTAGTGGCTCCTTTCTACCTATGGAACTTAATGGAATTATAGGCCATTGGGTGGGGTAGGCTAGTCCAGCGCTCTCCAAACGCCACTCTGAGGAATGTCTGTATCAGGACGATCTGGAGGTGCTACAAAACCCAAATCACCAGGGATGGATCCCTGGGCATTATAATGTGTTCAACATTTTGGGGCACTGACCTAGTTGAAGCCCCCATCTGATGTTGGACTGCCCTCTGTAACATCCACACCAGTCTTCGGCGATAGTGCACTAGCTGCTTGATAACCAGTGAAACCATCTTTGGGTGTCTCAACAAAGCACTGGTTCTAGTTCTGCCCTTTGGAGCCAAAGGACACAAGCCCATTCCTCTCCATTCCACAGTGGCTCTCACTACTGACACAGCTCAGTACTGACACAGGGCCTTTCTCTCTTTTTGAGGCCTGCCATCCTTCATTGACCCTGATGTCCTTGCACTGGGACTTATCTGATCTGTCTTAGAGTGTGGCTCTCAGGGACAACCCCAGAGGTTCACTGTGGTCAGTTCTACAATCTCTGCTTCTCTAAGTAGAGTCCAGACTAAGATAATAGGAACTAACTTATTTTACCTTGTAGGTCAAATTTTTATGACCTCTCTAGAGTTAAGGTGAAAATCACTTTGCACTTTATAAGGCAGTGCATACATAGACTTTGGAACCAGACTGAGTAGGTTCAAATATCACTCTACCACTTACTACTGAGTGTCCTTGTACAAGTTATTTAATCCCCCTGTGCCTCATTTCTATGTCTATAAAATAGAAATAATAACTGTAGATCTTACATGGTTGTGGATCAGATTAAATGCGTGTGTGTGTGTGTGTGTGTGTGAGTGTGTGTGTATATACACATACTCACACACACACACACACACAGCTTAGAATAGAACAGTGCCTTGCTAAGTGTTACTATTATTGTTCTACCAAAAGGCCTATTGTGAGAACAACAACTGTGCAAAAAGCAGAAATATAAATTTTGTTTAGTGTAACTTTGGTAACCATGTATTTTTCTCTTCCTTTTAAAGCCTAAAAATAAGAAAATTCTTCTCTCTGGAAAGAGAATTAAGTCCTGTTTTTTTGTAATATAAATAGTAGCTACATTGTATTGCAAAAATCCCAGAATGGCTCCTGGTTTGCTAGGACATAATCTATATACAGTTTATAATTTAGAAATGATTTGAAGTCTCTGCTTTGAACCCTCATTTTGGACACAATATGCACTTGCAATTATGACAGATCAGGAAACAAATGGATACATCCCCTGACATTCAAAACAAAACTCTGGTGTTCACAGCAGACCACTGTGGACAGGTATTTAAATCCCAACCCTAAACATTGAGACAGAAGCTGGGGAGCACAAAACACTTCAGGCGGAGATCCCCTTTCCAAAGTCCTGAGAGGCATGGGGATCTATGTCCTTTGGGGCAGGCAAAGGCAGACTAGCCACAATTCTTTAGAAACCTCAATAAGGTTCTGAAAGCTTGGGAAAAATAATACACCCATTTTATTTGACGTTAGATTAAAAGGTGAATACAAAACCAAGGAAGTGCCCGGCTGGTGTGGCTCAGTGGATTGAGCATCGGCCCATGGACTAAGAGGTCCCAGTTTGATTACTGGTCAAGGCGCATGCCCAGGTTGTGGGCTCGATCCCCCGTATGGGGCATACAGGAGGCAGCCGATAGAAGTTTCTTTCTCACATCAATGTTTCTCTCTCTCCTTAAAAAAATCAATAAAATATATTTTTAAAAATGTATTATAAACCAAGGAGGTACCAAGAGCCAAAACTTAGAATTAGAGTAAATTAGCTTCTGATTTCAAGGTTTGATCTTGGAAGAAATTTACCTGGACGTTATAAATTATCTGCATAATAAAATGATCCCAAGTGTCCAATTCCAATTTACACTATGTCAGATATGTAAAATCTGTTACTATTACACAACATATTCAAATGTGGTTTATTCTCTTCGGTAACTTGAGACCCACCCTCCAAATCCTCTTTGGTCTAAGAACTCTAAGGAAATTGGAAACTTGAAATCTTGACTCTCCTTACCTGACATTGGCTTAATAGTAAAGGCTTGATGAGACTGAATCAAAGCAATATGAAACTCAAAGTCTACAGGACAGCTGCACTGCAAAGGAATAACATAATTTTTGCTGCAAAAAAAAGAGAAAAAGAGCAATAGAAAATATCACTTTTCTTTATAACTAGCTCTTTTGGTTTCAAAGATTAGAGACTCAAGTTATGCAATAACCACCTACTACAATGACAACAGTCAATGCCAATACGATGATCCTGGGCACCAGCTCTCCTACGTGTCCCAGACGGTAACACCTCTAATCCTATGGGAGTACTCTGATCTTCCCACTTCAGAAGAGGAGGATGAGGCACAAGAGAAAATAAGTGTCCTGCCCAAGGTGACATGGCCAGTTAGTGGCAGAATTGGAATTTAACAGTGCTCAACTGTCCCGAGTGTCCACAGCTCAAATACCTCTGTCCCTGCAGCCTCTCAAGTACTTCAGATTGGTCTGATATCACAGTCACAGGGGAAAGGGAACCTGGGGACCATGGGACAAGCAGGCCTCACAGGAGCCGAGTTGAAGAAACACCACTGTGGGTTGTTGGACAGACACGTGCTAGAGACCCTCTGCGGTGAGAAGTCCAACAACCCCTGTAGGACCTGGAGAGGGTCTGTATACTCGGAAATGCTCTCCTACCCAAGACAAGTTCAGCTTCTGGGGAAGCCTGAGGTTGTCGCTCACAGCACCACGGGAGCTGCCGCAAGGGAAGCATTTCTCAGAGGGCCCAGCGTCTCTTCTTGTCCTCTCCTATCAGGCCCCTGCCGGGTGGCGGAGCCCTCCAGCCCACGCCGCTCCTGCATGGAGCTGGGCAGGTTGTCTGGGCACCTAAGTAGCAGCATGCTCAGCTCCTCCTCGGTCATTCAGCCAGGCCTCCGACCTCCTCTTTCTTTGCGGCTCCTCCCTTCTCCGCCTCGGAACTCCTGCGCCCTCGCGGTCATCACGCCCTCCTGCTCAGTGTTGGCCCCCCCCCCCCAACCTGTTGGACGAGGACCTCCCAGCCAACTGCCCTTCTCCTCACAGCTCCTGCTTCGGGGAGACCGGGGTTGAGACCAGTGTGAGCAGAGCTGCCAGGCCAGCTCCTACCCTGCCTCTGGGCAGTGCCCATCCAGCCTCGCCTGCCCAGTGCCAGTCTACCTGGGAGACTCCACGTCCCATGAAGGCAGAGCTGAGTCCCCTGGCTTCTCCCGAGTAGCCTGGCAAAGCCCGGAGTTCAACAGACTGAACACACGCACGTGTTTGCTGGAGCAAAGTGGAATCACTTCTCCAGTAGTTATCTGGGAGTCAGTGTAATTCAAATGTGGTTTAAAAATCATGCCAAGAGCATTTTTATTTGGCTTTAAATTAATTACTTTAAAAAATTTATGAAATCTTTCAAATATAAGAAAAATATAGAGAATAATAAAGTAATTCCATTACCAAGCTCTATCAAATCTTTTACTTTGGATATCAATGTTTTATTTTTTTAACCGTTATTGTTGAAAGTATTACAGATGTCTCTCCTTTTCCCCCATTTGTCCGCCCCCCACCCCCCACCCCCCACCTTCACGGCACTGTTGTGTGTCCATGGGTTATGCTTATATGCATGTAAGTTCTTTGGTTTATCTATTCCTGCCCCCAACCCCCTTCCCTTTCAGGTTTGTCAGTCTCAATGTTTTACTTTTTTTTTTTTATTCAAGTAGCTTGCTATGGAGCAGATGGTGAGAAATAGAAATTAGAATCCACATTTTTTTTTAATCCTCACCTGAGGACATTTTTCCATTTTTTTGTTTAGTAGAGTGGGAGGGAGAGAGAAGAACAGAGAGAGAGAGAGAGAGAGAGAAACATTGACATGAAAGGGACACATCGAGTGGCTGCCACCCGCACAACCCAACCAGGGCCGGGGACAAACTGCAACTGAGGTACGTGCCCTTAGCGGGAACCGAACCCGGGTCTCTCTGGACCACAGGCTGATGCTCTAACTGCTGAGCCAAACTGGCCAGGGCTCAATGTTTTACTTTTTAATGAAACTGCAGAACAGTTGGACCCCTGGAAACCCCTCCCTTGTCCTCTACTTCTTTTTCTCCCCCCCAGGGTAACCCACCCTCTATTCACTATCATTCTCGTGCATTTTTATAATATCATGACATATGTATGTACCCACAAAGTATATAATATTATATTATTTGTTTTCAACAAAAATTGTTAAAAACATACTAATTTTGCTTAACACTATGCTTTTGAGATTTGTCCATGATGATACATGAAATTCTGGTCACTCCTTTGAACTGGTGACGAGGACTCCGAGCCCACACCGCATTCATGGCGCTCCTGCTCCAGGGCCTTCGGTGGTGCCCGCAGCGGGCAGTGTGCATTCAGGCTCGCACTTGCACTGCTGCGGGGGGGCAGTGACAGGTCTTGTGTCTGCAGCTGCCCCGGAGCCACTCGGAATCACAGAGATGGAGCTGCTGGCCAGCAGGAAAGTGAACTGTCAGCTCACTAGACATGGCCAGCTGCTCTCCAAGCCCCTGCGCCGCTCGGTACTCCCACTAGCACGCTGGTCCCTGCTCTCACTGCGCAGGCTTTTGGACATTTTAACTTCTCCCATCCCGACGGGGTGGAATGGTGTCTCGTTTCATTTCATCTCCATTTCTTGGAGGCTGAGCATCTATTCAAAGGTACCCATTTATGTTTCCTCATCTATGAATTGCCTGTGCATATCCTTTGCCCATTTTTCTATTTTTGTTTTCTTGTTAATTTGTAAGTTCTAGATATTTTGTCAATTATATTCATTGATACAAATTCAAGATAAGGATCATCACATGAAGTATTCTCTTCAGCCAACAGTGAGATGAATACTACATCAGTTTTTAACCAAACTCATAAATCCCGTCCTAACTCAGGCTCTACTGCAAGTATCCTGTCCATCTTAACGCTCTGAGATGCTCAATTCTGAAACACAGGGCACCTGTCATTACATTTTCAAGGTCATGGCATTTTCAAGGCAGCTCACCTAACAGACACTCAGGCCCCATTGAGCATCAGCTGCTCTATAGCGCCAGGTCATAAAACTAACAGTACCAGCTACATGTCCACTCAAGATGTCAGCAGCTTTGGCCAGTGGTCAATGTGAAGTGTTGAACTGCCCAGAATCGGTCTCTGAAGATGAGGCCGGAGACTCACACAGCCATGTGGGCTGCATGGTCAGTAACTAACTCCAGGGGTCTGCTCAGAGCTGCCCCAGCCAGGTGAAGTCTGCTGATCAGGGATCTTCACTCAAAGCTACATGTTTGCACTTCCCTGAACTAAAACAACAACAAAACACTACTGGGGCTTTTCACATACACCACATTCTATCCAATGCCAGAGCTCTGGTAGTCCCCACAGGAAAGGTGTCAGGGTGTTCGTTTAACGATGCTTACACCAAGTCAATATGATGCATTAACCAGTCTGGAAAAACAATTCCTTAAGGAAACAAAAGTCCAGGTACTGGATTCGGAAGCAGACACTGTAATTCAAGTACTCCCCGTTTCAGTGGGACCACTGAACTTTCCCCTCACTGCTGCTCAGTGTCACGGATGCTGAGTTGGTGTGGGTGGTGCCACAATTATAAACCAGGGACAGTCTAGATGAATTTGGGTCAAAAGGAAATTGTGAAAATATAAAGTTTAGTTTATTTAGAAGTTTTTCATATCTGAAGAAATAGAACCCTGTTAGATTTGGGGAAGAATTAAAAATTCTAATCTAAATTCACATTGTTAAATACCATTAAAACTGATCTACAGTGAAGAAAGGTGAAATCAATATCCACGTCTTAGGCCTGTTATTCCACCGAAGCAAACGGAAGCCTCGATCAGAGTTCTATAACTTATGGAAAGCACTCATTAAAACCCTGAAGCAAACAGGACTTAGTAATTTTGGAGGTATCCATGACTTTACTTTTGTTGCTTCATTGACTAAACATTTTATCCATTATGCTAAGACTATGTATAAAAGTACAGTAAGCACTTTAAAAGAATGATTCCCTATTTAGAATAAAACCCAACCCAAATCTTTAAAATATTAGATTTATAGCCTTCGCTAGTATCTCTGTTGGTTGGAACATCGCCCTGTACACCAAAAAATTTTTGGATTCGATTCCTGATCAAAGCACATGCCTGTGTTGTGGGTTCGATCCCCAGTTGGGGCATGTATAGGAGGCAACTGATCGAAGTTTCTCTCTGACATTGATGTTTCTCTCTCCCCCTTCCTCTCTCTAAAATCAATAAACATATCCTCTGGATTAAAAAACAGAAAACAAAACTGGACTTATATTATGATCAAGTACAAATTTTGTGCCTATTAGAAGAAAGTATAAATTTGCCTTACAGTAAGTAAATATTATAAAATAATTTAATATGAATTCAAATTTCTTTTTTGTCCCTTCTCTAAATAAATGCTAGCTAAGGGTCAGATATCACTTTAGTTCGTAGTTAATTATAGAACATTTGTTTTGACCTTACTCTGATATTATTTTCTCATTTACCCTAAAATTTAACATTGTGTTTGTCAAAGAAGTAAGTAATCAAGGATATTTTGAGAGAATGAATGGCCTTGTGAACTTATTGTGGATAATAAAAATTAAATTCCCTCTCTGATTAAAAAATCTCAATGTCTAGAGAGGTAATGAGCAGGGTTTCTTATCATAAATCGAATTTGAGTCCTTTTTGGAGAATGCAGGTTAACTCACTATGAGCATGACAGATTTTAATATATTACAAGTTGCTGGATTCAGATGGCACAATAAATTAGCCATTAGCTATTTATGGATGTGTGAAATTTGAGGGAAACACCTGCAGTTAAAGGGGAGCCTCCCCACAGAGACGTACTGATGATTTAAACTGTCAGAAGGACTAAGACATGTCAATGTAGGAGTTTTCTTTTGTCAGCAGCTCACTGGTAGAGGAATCACACACAGATCAAAGATGTGGATGGCAGTGAGGTGTCTGTGTGACATTCTTTCTCTTCCAAATGTACACAAGACATGAAAAAATGAGTCTGGGAAAGCTTTGGGACTACATATTGTGGCAGATTTAAAACCAGTCTATAAACTGCTGGCC